CATGATGTGCTCTCAAACCAGGTGAAGAACTTTTCCCTCAAAGGGGAAAAGCAGACCAGAGGTTTTAGAGCTTGGAGCCCCATTACCTGCTCATTTATGCTGCTCTTTCTCAGGGCCTTTGGGTCCGGAACATTTTGCTGAATTCCTGAGAGGTGATGAGGTGTGCTGCTAAGTTTTCCTCCAGTCTTCTCGAACTCCATCAATCCTAGTTATGACTGAATTTTAGGATTTTGTTCATTTAACCAGCTAATAAATAACAAACAATTCAGAGTCGGTGTTATCCTCTGATATGATTGCATCATGGCTAGGCTTCATGAACGAAGATTTGGGAAGGCTCTATCCACATTTGTTACAGTATGATTGCATGAACTCAAGTCAAAACCACCAGCAACTTTTTTTCCAGCTATGCTGCAAGACATCTCCTTCACTACTGACAGAAAAAGCAGCAGGTATTGACAACCTTCTGCAGTAAGACCCCTCAAACCATTTTCCTTTAGGCATGACATCTGCAGTCAAAGAAGCCTGTCCTCATTCAGATTCCATGTAACAGAACCTGATCCCTCTCCTGCCACAGGGAGGTCTCCTACATCATACAGTTGCCTCCAAGTCCCTTCATCTTCCACCATTTATAGCTCTCAGTGGAGGTCCTTCTGCAGACCAGCTCTTTAACCATGCCCTTGCCAGTCCCTCATACCCTTGGCCTCAGCTCTGACAAAAGTAAAAAAAGCACCACTTTGCTCTCTTTTGCCTCCCAAAGCAGTGAGCCACCTGCCCCTCCAGGAGCAGCCTTTCTGTCCTACATCTTCCCCAAGCCCACCTCTCCACCACACCAGGGCACCATGGGTGACCTTGTGCTGGAGCTGAAGATCCTCTTGGAGGTTTCAGGGAGAGAAAAAAACCCACTACCAATCTTTGTCTGCCTCTCTCTGCCCTCACCCAGCTGGCTACTGCTGGGAAATCAGTTTTGCTCACAAGAAGCAAACCGTACTCATCCGTTCCCATGAGGACAGAAATTATGTACTCATCCAGCTGGCGGCACAGCCTGGCCCTGATGTGGGGCTGTCAGATCCCAACCAGTGTGTGGGGAAAGAAATCACGTGGGAGAGGTACTTGTGCTTTCACAGTGCTGCAGCTCTTTTCTCTCCCACTGTCTGGCAGCTCACCCACAGCTAATGTAGGATGCAGGCTCAGAGTGGCAGCAGCACCCCATGGCAGATGTAGGGACCGCATAAAGGCAGGACAGCATGGAAAAGGCATATCCAGATCTGTACTGGAAAAATTGGAGAGCTGGTACTGGAAAAGGAATGTCAAGGCTCAGGAAAATTGTTGCCAAGGTTCAGTTTTAAGTACAATAGTGTAACAAATTGATATTTTGGGTAGTGAAGATTTTGGGCCAAAATTCACCTGCAATCAGCTGGTTCATACAATGTTTTCAAACAAAGTCAGACTCAATTAGAAAATCTGCAGTTCAAGATTTAAAAGTTTTTCACTTGAAGGTTAATGTCTTTTTAGCCTGGTTACTTCTAAATTGGGTAGAGCATGTCTATCCAACTACGAACTCTCAGCTAGCAGCAGGACATCCAGACTGTCCTTGAAATGTCACGTAAAATAATTTGTATTCTCAGTAATTCACTTCTTTGAGGTTCTGATTGTTGATATATTGCTACCAACAGAGTATACAGCATTACAAAAGAGAACAACACTTTGTACCTCAAATGTCTTGACTTCAAAGCATTTAAACTTTATAAACAAAGAGACATAGCCTCAGTGTAGCACCAAAGAAAGCAATTTATGTAAGCAGAAAGTCTGGAACAAATAATTAAAACATGAGACTAAACAAAAACATTTGTGAGTTTGTTGAAACAACTTTGAAATATAAACTCATTTTTTGGTGTATATTTATTTGCACTTTACCTAAGGGTGCCCTTTCTTACTTGTGTTGCATCTGGAAGCACATCAGTGGTAGCCACGCGGAGCTCACTTGTCAGGCTCTTTTCCTGGCGTGCCCCTGCCTCAATCCGGAGGCAGCTTGGATGTGTCAACCTCTCTGACAGTGTACAAGCTCTTATTCTAAACATCCAGGTGAAAAACAGCAGTAGCATCCCTCAGCTTATCTCAAAGCCACAGCTCCACAGCAAGTATCTTTCTTTCTCTTCTGTTACCTATTAGAGTTTTGCAGGATTTCCAAACACTAGCTCCCAAAAAACGTGTTTTGGATTATATACTCCATTTTAACATCACAGTAAGCCACTTCTCATGGCAATGAGCAGTCGTGGTTGGGAAAGGAGTTATTTTACTAATTTGTCTTCTCATCCCACATCCCGCAGGAGCTGAAGCAGCCCCTCAGGGACGGTGAGGAGAAAGACACTCTAAGGTAGCTTTGGGGGCTTCAGGAGTAGGGAAAGGCAGCTCAGCGCATCCCAGAGCAGCGAGAGAAGGCTGCGGGGCAGTTTGGTACCAGCGCTGCCAGCCGCGATCCCAGCGGCATTTGGGGCTCTGCCGTCCCGGGCTCCCGCGATCCCAGCGGCATTTGTGGCTCTGCCGTCCCGGGCTCCCGCGATCCCAGCGGCATTTGTGGCTCTGCCGTCCCGGGCTCCCGCGATCCCATCGGGATCCCATCGGGATCCCCGCTCCCCGCCCTCGGGAGGCGCCGCTCGGGGCGGGCCCCCAGCCGCGATCGGGGGGCGCCCCCTGGCGGGGAGCGGGACAGCGGGGCCGTGCCGGAGCCGCGCTGAGCAACAACCCCCGGGCGGGGAGCAGCGACCCCGACGGACCTCAACGGCGGCACCTTTCCACATCTTTAACATATACACGAACAACATCTGTTGCCCGGGACCACTCTTTCCGTTTTGGGTTTTTTTTGTGGGTTTTTTTGTTTGTTTGTTTGTTTTTTAAGATCAATGTTTCTTACCAGCAGGAGACAAGGAAATCAATCCCAATGCCTATTGGGATTTAACATCTAATTGTATTTAAAAAAATAATTTGGGGAAGTTTCTTACCTCCCAGCTGAAGTGGGTTAAGCTTAGAAATCAAAGCCCTTTTCTGTACACAACAAAGATGTGTGTTTATTGTAGTATTTTTTTGCAATAATATTGCTATGAAGAGGTACAAAATCCCAGAGTAAGGAAGCCAGGGAGCGGCAGCACTGCCTAACTCTTCCTGTGCCAGCCCATCAACTTGAAGCTAACAAAACCATCAAGCGAGGCTGCAAAAGGACAAACCTCTTCTCCCAGAAGCTGTTTGTGATACAAGAAGGCTAACAGGAGAGGGATGGGTACTTAGGATCCTGCAGAACATGAGATCAGCAAAAGCTGATTGCTGTGTACTTACCCACTGAAATCCTGACACTGGGTTGCAAACCCAAGACTGACAGCCATGGGACCACAGAGGGATAGGGCCATGCATCCAGCATGCTGAGGTCCTACAAGCCTTGCTGTGGTGTCCTGTGGCTCCATAACCAGCTCCTAAAATTACCTTGGGTGTACTTACTACAAGCTGTAGCTGCGCATTTCAGTATAGGAAGACTCTTGCAATGCTGCAGGGTGCATGATTTATACTGCAATAGAGCTCTGTACCTTTTCTTTTTAAATAAAAGTGAGAGGGGCGAAAAAAGAAAGAAGAAACAGGGAGAACTACAGAATAATCCACTCTGAGGAAGATTCTTGAGGTGTGATCCTTAGGTGACCTGCACAGGGCCAGAAGTTGGACTCAATGATCCTGATGGGTCCCTTCCAACTCAGCATATTCTAAAACACTTTAAAAAAGAAAACTTTAAGAGATTTATCTCTTTAACTTGTCAAAACATTAAGCCTCTAATTACACTGCTCTAAGTACTCGGGTAGCCAAGACCTTCTTCTGGCAGAGGAAGTATGCAGAGGCCTGGTATTCTGAAACCAAAGCTAGTCCCACTGAGACACTGCAACCAGTGTTAATAATCACAGTGATTTGTATGTCTTAATACCCCTAGTCAAGATTGCAAGCCTTGATGGAAAATTTTGGCTTTTACATTTCAGAAGTCAGGGCATAAATGAACCTCTAAAAGCCACAGGCATATTTAAAAAAAATGCAAACAAAACAACAAAAACCCCACCTACAAATAGACCCACCAACCAACCAAAAAAGCACCAACAAACAAAATCCCCAAACCCCACAGCCACCAATATAATGTGTATAACACTATTACTTATTTAAGGCTTAATACACAGTTCCGAGAAAATGGGCACGTTTGTGGCAAAGCATCTTCCACTGGGCTTTCCAATCTACAAATACTGCTAATACACAGAAAGATGCTAGTTTTAATGTCATCTCTGATCACACAACAAGGAAGGAACTCCTTGAGAATCTAATTCAATTGTCCAGGAAAAAGCTGGAACTACCAACTTTTCAAAAAAGAAATCGGAAATTAAAAAAAAAAAAAAAGAACAAGTAAATTTTCATTTTCCCCATTATCTCTGCAAACTAATACACCGGCCAAGAGAACAGTTTCATGACCTGAACACTATCCATACACCAGATAGATATTTTAGATTCAGTAGTGGGAGGCAAAGCAATGCATCATTACCCTGTTTCTTGCTGGCTGTATCAGAACCACAGCATAGCTGCTGAATACCACGAGATCAGACCCACATAAAGTGGACAGAATAGAATAGCCCAGGTAAACACAACAGGTTTCAGCTCCTCATACTCCTGCTTTCAAGAAAGGACCAGACTTTTCTTTTTGTGGCAGAACTGTATTTAATTAATTTTCGTATGCAAATTAAAAGAACAAACAAAACATTATTGTATCCAAGTGAAATAAGCCAAACCAGCACAAATTAATATTTAAAAAATACTACAAAGAAAGATGAAGCAGGTAGATGAAGCTTTTCAATTCCATTTTTTGCAAAATTACATTCTGATACCTTGCACACACATGAATGCAGCCCTCAGTGGAAAAAAAGTCCAGTACAAAATAGTTTTAAACCCACATATTATCATACTGCAATGAAAATAAATTCACATTTGAAGAAAGCCATCACATTTTATTTTTCTCTTCAGTAGCGAGATTATTGCACAAAACAATCATGTGATTTTTCTCACAATCATTAATATCTTAGAGCCTTAGTGATTCTAAAGGTGATGTTGTGAGGTTCCAACATTTGTTGCTGCTCCAGCACATCACATAAAACATACATACTAGTTTATACAAACGAAATGTGTTTAGCTGGTCAACTGAATTCTTTCCTTCTCATGCATCAACCCCAACAATAATGATTTTGCTGCACTGATTAAGCTGATGATACATGAGAATAAATTATAATCCAAGTAATACCCAAGGTGGGCTGACTTCATAGGATCAACACAACAAAAGAGCAATCAAACCTATTTCTCATTCAAGCAAGCTCACAAGTGCAAAAATAGGCCACACATTGAGAACTGAGCTGTATTCTTCACAGAACCAGATCCCAAAACAGAACTGCACTTCAAGTTCACTGTTGCATAATAAAAATGTCCTGAGATCCTTTGGCTCAACTGAGGTCTCATTGGCAGGTAGAGCTCCAGGAGCAGCCTAACTCAACCTCAAGCAATTTACTTAACCCAAAAGTCAAATTGCTCCACTGAAGCAGGTAAGGTAGAGTTCAGTTTGAAAAAATGGTCTGAGACTATTAGGAAAGAAAAACATTAAACCAGAACTAATTAAAAAACCCCACAATCGCTCATTAAATCTACTGGATAGACTTAAACTGAGACATAGAAAGAAATTATCTGACAGTCTTGCTGCAGACAGCCTTGAGAGCATGTTAGTAGTATTGTTTCAAAATAAGATTAACAACAGAATAAGCATTTATTAGCACCAAAGGCAACATGGCATTTCTCAATTTATATCTAACTCCCAACTACAGAACACTTAGCTGCCAGCTCCACCACCAATTCTAAGACCTGAAACATCCAAATACTAAGAAGAGTATCAACAGTACAATCAAAGACACTTTGGGTGATTGTACCACTTCTTGCAAAACACAGTGGAACTCTACCAAATCAGTGTGACTACCACAGTAGTGCAGTTAAAACATGCTTCACTTATTGTTTTATGTTTTTAACGAGTATTATTCAAAACAAGTATAAAAGTTGGACCAAGTTAAATAGAAAACATGGTTCCACAGGTGCTACTTATGAGATCAGAAATGTTTGGGTGTTTTTATGATTCATTTTTCACAGCATCGACGTCATGAAGGGTAGGGGCAAAACGTTAGGACAGCTGGCCACAGTCAGTAATGACAATCTTTTTGGAGGGCTTTCCACTCTTGGAACCAAAACTCTCAATTTTTTTCACGACATCCATTCCTTCCTTTACGTGCCCAAAAACAACGTGTTTTCCATCTAGCCTGCAAAACAAATACACAAGGGCAGTTTTACTTAAAACAGCACAAAGACTGACTAAACCAAGCTTTGTGAAGGGGTGTTAACAGTTCTTCACAGCTCTCACCTGCTGATCAACTCTACGGCAAAGGCACAACTGCTCTACAAGCGACAGGAAATACTTTTAGCTCTGGACTTTAGAAGCAGTTTGAGGGATAGTGACCTTGTGACTCTCATAGCCCTTCCTCCCTCAAGTAGCACAAAATAATTTATTTCCATTGGAGTCAAGTAATTTGGAAATAAAACCAAACCAAACAAGAAAAACCCATCAATCCACAAACAAACAAAAACCCCCCTAAGAAAACCCCAAACTCTCCAGATTCAGGCATCACTTCAGGAGGCTAATCTGCAGGGCTGAGAACCTACCAGTCAGTTTTTGCAGTGCAAATGAAGAACTGGGATCCATTTGTATTGGGTCCTGCATTGGCCATTGAAAGAACACCTAAAACAACAGAAGCAGATTATTAGATTGGTGTAACAAGTTTGCACCAGAGAAGACAAACTTCCTCTGCACCTTTAGACTAAAGCTGGACAGACAGAAGATGTGATGATCTCACATTGCCTCCAAATGATTTCTAATGCCAACTTCTTGCCTTTCACTATTCTATTCCCTCCTGCCCAGCCTCCCTTTATTCCACAGTAAGAGTGTTAGCAATATAATTGGTTGTACGTGTCCTGAACATGACTAACACCAGATAAGCTCTACTGTGCTTCGACAGCAGCAGTAGTCTCCTGGGATGAGGAAGTAACAATGCCAAAAAGAGAGACTACAGAATTAGATCAGATGTTTCTCTGTATGGTCTTTCCTTTACTTTTCTGGCTTTAATTTGAGCTCTAAAAGGATGTGCCCGTGTTACCTAGTAAATAAGAAATCTCAGATGTCTTTGTTTTACTCCTGCATCTAACTAAAAATCGAAGTCTATGACTTATGAAAGAAGAAAATAAAAGCAGTAATTTCACCTTTGCAAAATTTGTAAGCCCAGTATGGGTTGACATCTATTTGTACAACAGTCTACACAAATAAGAACATGGCAGACAACACATTGTTAAACCTCCTCGATGCTTCTTCAATTACCAAGTGCCTCACAAACCTAAAAAACCTTATTTTTTAAAACACGTCTTCATAAACAATGCTTCATTATAGGTTATAGTCATCAGAAGGCAGAAAGAACATGAAAATATACACACTTGTTTTAATTTAGAAGTGACAGCATCAGCAAATTTTCTTCCAGTTAAGAATGAGTATGGCCACTCAATTTAAAACCATTTAACTAGTTGAAGATAGAATCAGGCAAAAAGTAGGGGGAAAAAGCCTTTCTCCCAAATGTGATGCAACAAACAACAGTAATTTTAAGACACATCTCAAAGGCCTCAAAACCAAATCACCCAAGTTCATCACCATTGCAAGACCTCAAAACTCTTTTGTTCCCCTTCCTTTCTTCCAACATGTATGAATATTGATCAGGATCTCCATTATTACTATTTGCTATTTCTAGGTCTTGTTGTTTAAGTGTTACACCTAGACTATTTTAAACTTCTCCCAGCTACAAGCTGCTTGCCAGAATAGATGACAGATACCTGTCTTAGGTTAGACACAAAAAACCAGTTCAAACAAAAACCCCAGCAACAGTGACTCGCAGAGGTAGCTCCTAAACTGGTTCTGGCAATCTGTCATCTCCTCTCCCAGGAGTGATACCACCCATGTCGTCAGAGAACTCACACCCAGCAGGTATTGCACGTGACATTCATCGTCCCATCCTCACCCCGAGTCATCTATTACAGGTGGTGTTACAGCTACTCCTACACAGCCCCAGAACTATGTTCTGCATGCCACGTGGAGACACCCAAACTGCCAGGTTCCGGATATGATGGCCTTCAATTAGGCCATACCGATTGCCTGAATCATATTAACACTCCATCTCAACAAGTGGAAAGGTCTCTACTGTCTTCTCTCACTTGAAAATTGTTGAAACCTATGACAGCATTTCCACTTCAGCAATGACCTCCGAGTAATTCCTAAACATCAATTCATCATCTCACCACACCAAGGAATCAACCATCTAGTATCCTCATTCCAGGTCCATTTGTGGGGACAAAGCAAAGAGAACACTTACACAGAACTTCACAAATTAGTGGCAGAAGTCAAAGTAGGATTTCTACTTTTTTTTTCATATTTATGTATTTGGGATCCCAGAAAGACTTCTAAACTCTGTCCCTTTGCCAGTATCACAAAACCTTAATTTGCATTTAAAAGGCAAGAAAACAGGTCCTTTACAGCACATCTGTCCCCTTTCTCTTCTGAGAAATAGGTCACACAATCAGGGCCTCTTGTTTCAACAGATATACTTTTGTTTAAAAAAATAATTAAGGATGGGAGACCATCACAGTCATCAGTTAATAGATAAAGCATGCTTACTACGACCTTCATGTTGGATATTTTTACAAAGCTATTCAACAATGTAATGTTGTTGAAATGTTGCTTTTTCTAAGGGAAGAGAGGACCACCAGGAATCACACATTCCAGTGCACTACAGCAGCTGCATCCCGCTCATCTGCCAAGCACAGTAGATAAAAAGGCTTTAAGAAAGGCTTGTTGTTATTTTTGTTGCTGCTGTTCAAGAAAAAATTGTCAATGCACATGGAATCTTATCCAGAATTTCAAAAGATTCATCCTTTAAACCGAAACAAATTCCATCTCAAATGGGTCATCCCAAAAAAATCGACCCCAACTGACTTCCCCTCCATATTAGAGAGACATTTGAAAAAAAAAATATTTAAAACACATTCTCTATTGTGAAAAGATTATTCTACTTGGAATAACGAATGGACACATTGTTTTCTTAGCTCCCTTAGTTGATTGTCATTCTACCCATAACTGCTTCTCACAAGCAAGTGCTGTTTTGCCACCTATGCCCCACACTACAGTACACTGCTATACAACAGCAGAAAGCCTTCAGCCAGGCTTTTTTTTTGACAGTCTACACATAATTTACATTTATTTGTACAAAACAACAGCCACTGCAAAAAGATCAGAAATGGAAGTCACACTGTCACTTCTTTATTGTGTAGTTAGCGAAAGCTAGAGCAGAGCCATTTCAAATGTTAGTACTAGTCTGTTTCTAAAATATACAAATAACATAAATAAATTTAATAGCAAAAGGAAAAAAAAATTACCTGGCACATAAATGAAGGAATCACTCTGTGAAAAGTGGATCCTTTATACCCAAAACCTTTTTCACCAGTACAAAGTGCTCTAAAGTTTTCTGTGAAAACAAAGTATAAAGTATTATATTCTGCATCATATGTGGCAATACAATCAAACACACCTAGACTATGTCTCAAGTTTCTATGTTTCAAAAATTTTACTGTATCTTTAAAGTATTATTGATTTATTTGTTATTATGATACTTTAAAAAAAATCTCTGTTATAAAGCTAAGAAAACAAAGCTTATTTAGCTTCAGAACAGGGTACAAACACAATCCTTTTCCATCCCATCTCCCTTTTATTTTACTGTTATATCTTAACTCCAATACCCTGACCTCCCCCACCAGAGACCTGGATGGTTTCAAAGAATGTTTCACTTGTAGTCCACTTTTTGATATGTTGGGCTAGGTATATGTGATTTGTAAGGATGCTGCTGTTTACAGAGTTCTTTAAGACTGATACCACAAAGATCCTACTCTTACTTGAAACTTGAAACATGCAAAGTTAGTACTAGTAAGCAATTACCTTTTCCATCCCGTACAAATGCTCTTTTAGCTGTTTATATGGCTGACTGTGAAGTATGAAACTGTGACCTCCCAAAGCTTTTTAACCAATGTTATATCTTAACTGACCTCCCCCACCTTTGCCTGGGGTCAAAGGTTTCATTTTCTGACTTTTATGCCTCTGTTCTCTATAGTAATTGTAAGGATTATGCCTTTTTTTAAGGACATTTATCTACTACAAACTGAAAGAAATATACCAAGTTTTTTTCAGAACGACTAAATCAGCAGCTGAGGAAGGAAACGTGATAAACCACGCAAACTTTTTAACATAAATGTACTAATCAGCTAGTGACCAGGAAAACAAAACCCCATATGCTCTTTGGAAACTCTAAAAGAGACCAATCCCCCTTTGATTTACCCTTCCCCACTTGCTCTGGGGTTTGATTTTAAAGCAAACTAGTGTGTTCTTTAACATATATATTCACCACTGATAACCCAATATATGAACTGTACTACCTCGGTGCAAATTACAAAATGAAACTATTTGAAAGAATAATGAATTCCAACTCCCCACTAGCACTTCCTGTCATATTTCCTGATTAAAAAATGAAGATGGAAATAGTTCTAAAGGGTAAAAGAATATTCTTGTTCCTGCAAATCACAATCTAAAACTTAAATAGTTAAGTATGAAATTTTGGAGATGCTGCCTTACCTGCTGTCTTTGGAACCACATCGGCTTTCAGCTGTTAAAGAAAAATAAACCAACAAATTTATAGGTGAGCTTTTTCATATGCACATAGAAAAACTTCTACATGGGAGACTGGTACAACTGAACCCTCTTCCCAAAGTGATGAGCTATCTGAAATCACAAGCCACCAAAATTACATGAATACCTTAAAACTTCCCAAGCATTTGGCTAGTAATGCTAAATATATCCCCTCAATGCAACTTTTAGCCAGTTAATGAAGAACACTTTGAGCAGTGCCTAATGATTTCCATTGGTCAACATGGTATTTCAGCAAAAACTAAGATGAATCTTTATGATGGACTCCAAAGATCAAAGCCAGTTTGGATACAACTGGAGATACCAAAGTCTGCCCAGCACAGTCAGCTGTTGAAATTTGCAAAAGAGGCAGAGCAGAAACTGTATATGAAAATCTACTCATGAACTTACACAGACGTAGCCTACAAAAACTTCCGATTTGGACTAATAATGATCTTTTTACTAATCCTAAAAAGGGGTATAAAAGTGGCCATACCAGTCAGGCCAAAGTTTTACCCAGCTGCACATCCTGACAGTAGCCAGCAGCAGACACTACTGTGACACACTGCATAGAAACAGTATGGCTGTGGCAAGAATTTAATGTTCCTTCCCTAGGAAACCCTCCTCAGGCTGCTATAATTTGCAACTGAATCTAACCACAACTTAGCCAAAGATTCAAGGCAATGCTGCAATGCATTCAGATTTTCTGTCAACTGGGCACAGTAAAAATATTTAACATGGAAATTAAATGCTGTTGCAAGAAATACAGAAACACTTATGTTATTTTTTATAATACCATCCAGATATTTACTATATCTCACTGATGAATAAGGTACTTGCACAACAACATTTTTACCTGTGACTCCCTGAAACAATACCTCCTGAGAGCACACGAGCTGGGAGAATCCAATTAATTTATATGCTGCAACTTTGAATGAATAAAAATAAACTGGGCTCTAGTCTCAAATGAACCCCTTTTAGAGAGAACTCTTATGACTAATTTTTTTTTAAAATAAAATCTCTATGAATACAGACCCAGAGACGGCACTAGAGGCAAAAGGCCACACTGAATTCCCTCAGCAGGGGAGCACTGGGAAGAGCTTCACTCCCTCTACAGTGCGTGGTTCTGGAGTGCAGCCCTCACTCCTTCCCATACTCAATGCATTTACCTGAGGCAGGTACCGGCCCCAAGGACACCCCAAGGGTGCACCACACGGCGCTAATTATAATGCTTTCAAGAGCAGAGTGTACTGCGGGGTTCCCGTTCAGGCCTTCTTCACACGTACAGAGTACAAAGTACTTCTTTACAGAGTACTTCAGAGACCGGATTTTTACAGGTGGAACCAGCTGCTACCTGGCTGTCGAGCCTGCTGCTCATCCCAACAGCGCCGCGCCAACCTTTCGCTCCACGTGGAGCGGGAAGCCCAAGGAGGCAGCGCCTCAGGAAACTGACAACCAAAAAAATCAAACAACGAGCACCATGGAAAAATTGGACGAGGCTGGAGGCGCGATGGAAGGGCTCCAGGAGCCGGCTGCCCCAAGAGCAGCCAAAGGCGGGGACCTCCAGTGCCCGCTGGGACCCCGCTCTCTCCTCTCAAGCCAGCGGTACAGGACAGCAGCAGGCTTATCCTTCTTCAGTATTTCAGCTCACACTCAGTGGTTTAAAATCATCTTCCTCCGAGGCTCCCCACCACACCAGCCCGGGTCCGAGCTCTGCCCTTCCCGCCTGGAGGGGCTGTCCCGCCTCCCTCTCTCCCCGGGAGCGGAGCCTCGAGGGCGGCCGGGCAGCAGCTCCCACGAGCGGGCGAGTCCCGCCATCCCCGGGCCCCCGTCCCGCCCCCTCCGCGGCCCCGGCCCCGGCCCCGGCCCTGCCCGCCCTGACCTTGCGGCTCCGCGGCCGCCATGCCCCGGGCCCGGCCGCCCTCGGCTCGGCGGGCAGCGTGCCCCGGGCCCCGGGCGAGCTGCAGCCCCGCGCCCCTACCTCCAGCACCACGCGTCCCAGCGGCTGGTTGTCGGCGCCCACGTCCAGGTACACCACCGGGTTCGGCGGCCCGGCGCCGGCCCCGCTGCAGCCGCGGGCGCCGGCCGCCCACATGCAGGCGAGCCCCGGCGGCGGCAGCAGGTCCCCGGGCGGGCGAAGCAGGCGGCGGGCGGCGCTCAGCGCCAGCATCCCGCGGGCAGGCGACAGACACTGACACACCGACAGACGGACACCGACACACGGACACCCGGCCCTTCCCCGCGGCCTTTATGGGCTCCGCCGCGGCGCCGCAGCGCCCGCTGGCGGCCGCGCAGGGCGAGAGGGGCAGGGGCGCTGCGGGACAGCGGAGCGGGCTCGACCGAGGGTGCTCGGTTTGTCTGTTTGTTTTTCTTCTTTTTTGTTTGTTTGGGGCTTTTTGTTTGCTTGGGTTTGTTTTGGTGGTGTTGTGGTTGTGGTTGTTGTTTTGCACATTTTCTCACAGCCCCTCACTCCCAGGGATCAACAGAGACGGCGAAGTTTATCTAAAGTTCCGTAATTTCACACTCAGCGCCTTTGGGCTTGTCCGCGGAGCACCTTGGCGGGAAAGGCCGTGCGGCCGTCACGGGTTTGGGATAACCGGGAGTCACGGGCTGCCCGTGCCGCGTTACTCACCGGCAGCATCCCGGAGCTGCGGCACCGACACGCGTCGGGACAGGCGGGCGCTCCTGAGTCACCCCGGCACCGCAGACCCCGGGGTGCCACGGCATCGGTCCATAGCCCAGCCTCGGCTTTGGTGCGAAACCTGCCCCAGGGATTACAAAAGAGAGTAACAGCAGTCCAGTTTACTATAGTTTCACTATAGTTTATAGTGAAATATTGTAATAGTTTTTATATGAAAATAACAACACCTATCATTTAAACTTTTCCTAACTTAGTAACTGAGATGAAATATGTACTTAGTACATATTTCAGTCATGTTCAGATATTACTTCCAAATCTTCTCCAGTTCCCATCCTGATTCCATATATTAGTACTTCCAAAAGTTTTTCGAATTTGTAATGTCACAAAATGTCTTTTATAAAAAAAAAAAAAAGAAAATCAAGGGTTATTCTAATAGTTATTTTCACATTCCTGTATTATAAATTAAGTTATTCTAATGAAGGTTGGAGTAATGCAGCCATGCAATACAATATGACAGAATCATACAAAGACAGCCCCTACGTGAGGAACAGTAAACTTTCAATCCCACCTAAATTCTTTGTGTCAAGCAGCTAAAAGTGCCTTCATCAGTGACATTCACTGAAATGACAGAAAGCTATCAGTCAAGGCACTGCCCTGACCACAAAGACCAGGGCAGAACTACAACATGCAATTACAAACAAGTGAGAAATCCTAGATGAGCACCGTTTTTCAGGCACACACTCCAGAGAGACCCACAGATCACACCCCTGCACTGCCGATGCTGTAGGGATGACCACAGCAGGTATCATGCTTTTTTTGTAACTACAGAACCATGTTAAGTTACGTCAAAAGGTCCATCTTGTCCTGAATGCTCAAAGGAATGACTAAGGAAGAGTGAAAACAGGGGAAGGGTGTATTATAGGCCAGTATGTTTTCAATCTCCTACTGCTTTCATTCCAGAGAACTTCCCAAGCTGGATGTGACTTTGGTATGTAGTAACCTTTTTTTTTCTCCTGTGTACTTATCCACTCATTGGACCTAACTGTTAGCATCAGCAGTTCCTTGGCAATGAACTGGAAGCTGCTATTCCACAGGCCTGCTGACCAGAGCATCAAGAATTTGTTTGTTTTGAATACTGCTCCTGTTACCTTCATCTACTGTACCCTACTTGTGTTGGAGGAGGCAAGTTGATTGGTGTCTATCTGTGTCATAGAGACCTACAGCTCTTCTCCTCTCAGTCATTTCAAGACTGAAAAGTCACGGCCAACTCAGTTATTATTTAAAAGAAATCTCTTCCATGTCTTTGGGGTCATCTTTATTTGCTTTCTCCAAGCTGTTCCACTTTTATGGATTTTTTTGCGACCAAGTATCCAAGATAAAGATGAACAATTACTTACTTTGTACATACAGTGCCATGATGGTATTTTCTATTCCTTTACTAATAATCTAAAGGTGATTTTTTTTCAATAGTAGCTAAATCAGTATAAAATTTCTACTTAGTTTGTTATATCCTCTCAGCTTCAAGTCCATTTTTGGACTTTCTCTAGTGACCATAAAAAACCTCACCCTCTTTTTTAATGTTTTAATTGCAGTAGCCACTAGAAGCCCAAATCAAGGTTAGGTGTTCTGTGCATACCTGTAACAACAGACAGTTCTGGCCCTGAAGGATTTATTATTTAGTAAACAAGACAAAAAATGAGCAAAAGAAAATACCATCTTGTTTCACACTTGGGAAACACAGGCAGAAGAGCTTTGAACTGTTTTGTAAGAGTTCACAGATGTCTTTGGTAGAACAAACAATGCAGTTTTCCTCACTTGCAGACTTGGTGAGAAGGCAAAACAACTCTCTTTCACAGTGGTGATTTTTTTATTTGAGAATACGGACTGAATTATTATCTTTAGGCTTTGGCAATAAAGCTACTAAATCACTTGTTATGGCCTACTGCTGCAGAGTCAGATGAATTAAAACTCGTGCAGACAGTTTGACTAGGAACTTGTGAGTTACAGAGGTCACTTTCCAAGGAGGACAGAAAAAGGTCTCCAAAACTGTCAAAGACCACTATATCACTGCCAAGTGAGGCTTAGAGTTAGCTCAGGAAACTGAGATTATTTTAGGGAACCTTAGAACATAGCCATTTGAAGATATGTTCGTTGTTAGAATTCTGCAACATGTGGCTCGGAGATAAGTACATTTGGCTGGAAAACGAGCACACTCCGCACTAGATTAGATAGGCAAGGGAGTGTGGTTGCACAGACAAAAGCCAAGATAAGGTGCTTCAGCAGAGCTGTGAGGGAGATGGTTACCTGCCCTACAGATTTCATCATACTCTCTCCTCCCATCTCAGAAAATGATATAGAAGTTACAGATGGATAAACAAGGACCCTTTTGAAATTAGTTTCTAAGGAGATATTTTTAGAAACATACGTATGAAAGGACCCTTCCTGTGTTATAGCAGAGAAATTTCTGCCCAGGAAAAAGAACCTTAAATGATGCAATAACAGAACTTCATACTGATACATTACTTACAAGTCTTTGTAAACAAGCCTATTGAGTAACTGAGTAAATATTACCACCATTGTGCCAAGATGGACAGGAAACAACAACAGTGGTTAAGTGGCTCCTCTAAAGAAACAGAAAGAATAAATGCTTGAAAGATGACCTGAATTTGAGAATTTTGATTTCAAGGGTCTTGAAATGGTGATATGCCTGGTAAAAAGGTGATATGCCTTCCTGACTCTGACTGTGTGCCTACTTGTTTATGACACAGGAGGTGTTGTATTATTCAATCTTTGATTGCTGCTGTTGGATTTATCTTGGCAGCTGCAGCAAGACCACATTTTGCATCCTGCCAACTGCAAGAGTGGAATTCCATGGAACTCACCTTTGTCTGTGGTGCTCTTTGATATGCTCTTCATGGGGCTGTATCATTGGACCATGCAAATAAAAACTCAAATATAGGCTGCAGCAACCTATTTCACAGGAAAGTGCATTTCATAGGAACATCACTTGATACTGTGATACAGGGAATTCCCATGGTATTGATTTTAACATTCATTATAAGAACCTTTGCACATCTGGGACATGGTTATCTCAAGGACCATGCTAATCTGGACTGTTAGCTGAGGGAGAGGTCAGACAGGTACTCAGCTTGATTTTAAGTGAGGAGAGCAGGAATTTGCAGTGGGCATTCCCACCCCTTGCCTGCAGAGCCTGGTTGTGCTGCACTTCAAAAGACTCAACTAATTTTTTCTTCAAGGTTTGACTAAGCTAGAAGATGAGTTAAGACATGGAAAGTATCTCTATGATCTGTATCTATGATATGCATTTATTTATGAATGGGGACTAGAGTGGTAGAGATGGTGAAAGACCTTTCCATTTTACTAAGTGATTGCAGTGTGGAATTAAACTGTACAAGAGCTCAAAGGGCACAGAGTAGCCACACAGGTACACTTACAGATATAAAGAAAAAATGCTAATAAATATTTCCCCCAATCAAGGTTTCCTCTTAGGAACTTGTAGTAACTCAGCTCACTACGTGAACCTTCTCACCAGCACACGTTGTACATAAAGGAGGAGTTTCCCCTCATGACTTCATACTAATTACCTGCAAATAGTCATACAAGAAAAATCTCAATCCACTCATGCTCTTTACAGCTGTGATTAGCATTTTCGTTTCAGAAGTTCTGAGTGACATTGCTTGCCTGGAATTCATTACTCCATCTCCCTGCATAATGCATGGAAACTCACTGCTAATATGTCAGATTACACAGTGCCTTTACACAGCACCCAGGGTGCCTTGCAGCTGCCTGCAGCTTCCCAGAAGTTCATCCATACACAACTACAGCTACTTGCAGATAGATCACAACAGCCTGGCGAAGCATGTAGGACATTTAAAATGCAGCTATTACTCCCAGTGGCCTCACAAAGCTCCAGGATGTGGATAGGTGGTTTGCCTGTGGGTGGGCGAGGAGATACTCTGCATACTTATGAAACAGTATTAAGATACAGCAAAAGTTATGGGAACTCTTCTACCTTCTAAACCACAGAAATGTCAGTTATAACAGAACTTGAAATTTACAGGGATCAGTTCAGTTTATTTACCACTTCTGGTCTGAGGAACAAGTAATAAGGTAACAAGTATCAGAAATACTTTTAGAAATGATTAGTCATGCTACTTCATCTTGTATGAGTAAGATGAGCCTGGAGCTTGGGATGATCTTACTGAAAATGGAATTACGCAGGAACTACTCATTAAAGGAGACTCTCAGGAGCTCCCTCCCGGGGAGTGGAAGTCAGCACTGCATTGCCCTCCTGTCCATCCCAAGAGGCTGTTGCAACACCCACTTGCATGGAAACCTACATGTGTTCTCTCACCACTACCAGCTCCTGCCGTGCCTCGTCTTTTCTCTCGCTGTGTGACTCCATTGACCAGGTCTCGTTTTTGTCATACAACAAATATATAACTGATCAAAGCAAAACCAGAGGTGCACCAGACACTTCCTGTAATCACTGAATGCAAACAGGTGAAATAAAGGGAAGAGCATCATGCATTTAGCCTTTTAAGACTGACAGGGTGGTAGTAAGACATTCTAGGTTGAG